ACTATATATATATATATATATATATATATATATATATATATATATATATAATTTCTTAATGGTATTTGTTGAAAATGACCTATCTATATTGTCAAGTCTATTGGTTACTTTAGGAGTATTTAATATGGTCTGAATTTATTTTTTTCATCATGATTCATGTGATTTTCATATTTCATTTGAAATTTTATAATTTGTAGTGATGATGATGTTTTATTTTAGCAAGCAAAATATTTGATTAACTCGTTGGGAAATTAAGAAAAAGTATTTATCGATATCTAATATTTACACTGAATCAACTAAGTGAATATAAAGAATTATATACAGTAGTGTGAATATATAAATATGCCACTCAATAATTATACTTCCTTCCTCCTTTTCAGTTTATTTGTCTTGATTTTTTTTCATTTAAAAATAAATATTATTTTGTTACATTCTTGATTCTATCTATTTTTAGTTTAAAAACGACAACATTCAAAAATATCTTTTACTTTCTTAATCTCTATATCAAACTAAAATTGAACGATCAGATTAAAGTAATTAGTACTAGTATATACATTTTTTAGGTTTATGAAACTTTATAATTCAAAATTTTGCATGGTAAATGACGTTGTTCGATCAATTGTTTGGACTAATATATATATTAATTATTTATCATAAATAATAAAAGTTGAGTTTGGCCAAAAAAATATACACTTTTCTTTTTGAAGTTAAACTTTGAAAAATATGCTTGATCATGAAATTGTTTTCATATTCTTCACTCTAAGTTATTCACAAAAATTCAAAAAAAAACCCTAATTTGTATTCATAACCAAATCACAACTCCAATTTTCAAATATATCACTTTTTACTTTGAAAACAAAAACTATTTTTAAAAAGAAATTACAATGAAATATGGCTAAACCTCCAAGTTGTGTTTGGGCTGAACAGAAGCTCACAAGTTTGGGCCTTTTTTTTAGGGCAACTTTCACATATAGCAAACAAAAAATTCATATTTGTATGCTATAGCAAACTTTGCATAATTGCGCTTCATAACAAACATAAAACTGTATAATTCGCTATACATATACAAGTGTATAATTTGCTGGCCTAACAATTGTATAATTCACTGCCTATTTCGCTACAATATTAAGTGTATAGCAAGAAGATATATGTTTTTCTCTCGCTTTATACAAAAACAGAAACACAATATATACACTTCTGTTGTATAAAGCTAGAGAAAATTGTACTTCATTGCAATTGTATAATCCGCAATTGTATAATTCGTTGACCTTTTTCTCTGCAATATTTGAAGTAAAATGTTTGTAAACTGTATTAAGTGTATAACACGAAGATATATATTTTTGCATGTGTATATACAATTTCTCTCGCTTTATACAAAACAGAAACAGAATTATACACTTTTGTGTATAAAGCGAGAGAGGCGAGAGAAAATGGAGAGTGGCGAGCGAGATTTCTGGGAGAGAGACGCTGGCAAATTTTAGCTAACGTTTGCTATGGAGCACAATTAAATCAAACCCTAGCTATTCCATTTATTTTAGGTTATTAGTTTGCTATTATATACAATTTACCCTTTTTTTTACTCTTATGTCCAACCTCAGCCCAAGTCTAAGAGGCCCAAATCTAGCCCAACATATTGATTCTTTTAAAATTATTTATTATTATTATTATTAGTTTTTATTTACTGTATAGTTATTTGTATTGTACTTGAGCCGTTTGATAGCTGATTTGGAAATGAGCTACAGTAGAAATTAAATTCTGCACAAATGATGTTGTATTCGTCCATATTGAACCATTCTCCATTGTAACAATTAAAATCAGTAAATTTTACCAACGGTAAATCATAATATAAAGATAGACTCTAATCAAATTTGACTTTAATTGACAAGTAAACATTCTAATTTTGAGGGTTCAAAATATGAAAAGTACATATACAAGAAAAGTTGAAGAGGTTCAATATCTACAATATATACATAAAAATTAATTTAAACCGTGTATATATAACGTAAATTTTCATCGAAGGGGTAACCTCTGAACCCTTACTAGCTCCGTCCTTATTTAAGAGTGCACATCTAGCCACCTCAACTCATCCCATACTACGTTTCGTGGATACCTAATGCTGACGTTGTTGGGTTTTATTTGCCCTGATTTCTTACCATAAATAGGTTTTCCTTTTCGGAAAAGGTTTTGGATTGACTAATCCTTTTTCTGGTAGGAAAAGGTTAAGAACTCTATAAATAGAGTAATGTTCCTTCTAACTTAATCAGCATTCACAATGTAGTCTTAAAGGGCTTTGAGAGTTTTGGTTAGAGGGAGAATTTGTGGGTCACAAGCATGATACATTTTCACTTGTGTGAACCTCCCATGTATTCCGAGTGAATTGGTTGAGGTTGTTTCTCTATGTATTTTGTACTCTAATATTTATAGTGGATTGTTCATCTCCTTTGTGGATGTAGGTCGATAGACCGAACCACGTTAAATCTTTGTGTCTTTTGGTATATTTCTCGTTGTCTTCTTACTCGTGATCTTTCGAGGTTTGCTTTGCTAGCTTCTGCGTTTACACCTGCTTATTTTCGGTCCTAACAAACGTGATACATAAAATTTAGATATTTCTATATGACCATTTTATAAATTGGAGTGTTCAATTGACACTATAGATACAAGTTGAGGCATCTAAATGTGCATACGTAAATAACTATTAGCATTAGCACAACTAAATGATCCAAACTCCTTACAAGATCCTTCCTTACATTACAACTAAATAAGAAAAATATATAAAACAAAAGAAAAAAAAAGTGAATAGAATAAAGGAACAGAAATTCTAGTATTTTTTAACCTCTCAAAACACCAAGCTTTTTTTTTAGTACAATTAAATTTTTCACCTTTGTGTTTGAGATCTCTAGCCCCTCCTATTAAATTTCATCTTCCATATTTCTTAAATCAACATTTCTATGTTCCCACCCTCTACATTTTACTTACTTTCTACCCCTCTTCAACTATAATACATGCAAAATGTCATTGTTTTTTTTTTTGGTGCATTTTGAACTTGACATTTTATTTTTGCTTGCAACACATTAAACCATTTCTAGGGGTGTTGGTGTGTGATTGCCTTCAACAGATTTAGCCTTGTGTTTAGTTGTTCGCGAAGACCTTAACGTGGATGGTGAACTCGATTTTGGAGAGGAAGTTGATTTAGGCTTCCTCCTTTTTTGTTTCTTAGGAGGACTAGTAACATCTGAAGTTTTCATGTCCTTGTGAATGCTAGTTGTTGTTAGTTGCTTCGTCGTCTCACCACAACCTATAATAAAAAGACATGCATACGTTGAAATATAATAAAAGTATACTATAGAGGCAAGTGGTTCAACTGAATTCGTTGCTTTTAACTATGTGTCATAAGAATTATAGTAAAGTGTGTCTTCATGAAAAGTTTAATATAGATTGAGTTGTAGAGTCTTGTGGGTATGAATGTAATAAGTAGGTAGAGAGGAGGTCATAAGCGTCTATATAATAAAATCAATTTTCAATAGGATAAAAAGGGAAAATGTTCAAAAGATAAACATAAAGTAGAATAATCTAATATTCGAATGAATTCAATTTTTGCTGAGACTTAATTTTGAACTCGCCTCTAAAGAAGCAAAAGTAGGTAGTTAATTTGCTCATCTTTTCCCTCAATATCATAGCTTAGCTTCAAAGTGCATATGAAGTTCAAACGTCAAATATACAACCCCTTAAACTCGATAAAAAAATTCATTTAGATATCTAAGCTAATTTTATAATACACAAACAATGCCTATTAAAATAATTTTGTGTTAACATCTCATGGAGTGATATATAAACACTCACTTTTAATTATCTTTCATATCATATATTCAATAACTACAATTCAGTAGAAATATCTAAGTAAAAACTCGAGCAAATTTAAGGGGTTGCATATATTCGGTCTAAGTTTGTAAAATTTTTCTGATTGAAATTTATAACAATAGAAGGCCATACTAATTCATAAAATGACACCACAGATATGTTATGTCCCTTTCTTGGGTCATGAGGCAAAAATCTTTTAAAAAAGAATTCTTTAGTTTTTATGAGACATGCAACAAAACATAGGACAAGCTTACTATTTTTTAATTCTCTTATGATGGAAAATATACATGATCTGAAGTTACAAATAATATGATAAAATAAGGCTAGATTTCTCAATGTTTACTTAATTAATAATTATTATCATAGAAATTTACTATTTTTCTTGATTTCTCATTTTTTTCAACAAAAAAAATTAATTTTTTCAGATAATAACTATTAGTTGAATGACCATCTAATAAAATCAAGCTCCACTAAATAATAAAGGGGTTTCAAGCAAGCGTTTAGTTTCTAGAGGTACGTTGAATGATTTCTTCACATCAATCTAAAATTTTGATTGACAAAATTACTCGATACATGTATTGATGAGAGATAACATGTATTACGTAAAATAATCGAGTGGCCTAAAAACTAATTTTACCACCGTTATATAGTAAAAATGAAAGATCTCTATAGATTTTTGGTGTGCAAAAGGAAAAAGGATGTTAAGCAAGACTAACCTTGAGATTTACCACTAGAAGTTACTGAAAATTCAGGTCCTGCCTTGAATGATTTCATCTTCAATTCAAAAATAAAAAAATGAAAATGTTAGGCATGTGGAAAGCCCTTCATATAAAATAATGAATTGTTGAGATTCAATAAAAGAAAAATACTTAATTACATATGATGTTTACACCAAATTAAACTTTAAAATTACAAAAATAATTAGCTCAATAGTCGAAGCATCGCATGTTCATGCAGACTCTGAGAAAGGGTTGCATCCGAGGAGAATAATAATAACTTATTCTGACACAAGCGTCTGACGACTTTAAGAGTAAATAAAAACAAAAAAAGGTTTACTCAACACATAAAACATCTTGCATTCATGAAGAAATTGGAGAAGGGTCGCAACTCGCACTCAATAACATATGCAGTCTATCCTGATACATGCATTAGTAATTAATTTTATAATTAGATCCATGACCACACAAGACAACTTTAAGAGCTACAAACTAAGGCAATAATATATAACATCTTACATTTTAAAGTTTTATGAAAATATCGAGTTCGAATAAATTTTGGTGAAACTCAAATATGTGAACAAAAGATAACATACCCAAGTAGGTGCACCTCCAGAGGGACCTTCCCAACCAATATGTGCCACATGTTTAACATCAGTTGGACCTCCAATCTCCAACTCCCTCTCCTTAACAACTGTAAATTTAAAAAATCATTTTTTTACACTTTTACCCTCGAATCAAATATAAAGAAAACATGCAATTCCCAAAAAAAAAAAGGAAAAAAGATGTTACCAAAAATATTTGAGATATATTTGCAAATCCCCTTCACTTTGATTGCCATTGTATATAATGTAAAAGCCCAAAAGGCCAATAATACTTTGCTCAGAAATGATAGAAGGACCACACCAATGAGAAATATTAATTTCCTTGCCTAAACCAAAAAGCAAAAAATTACAAAATTTATACCCTTTTCAATTTCTAATGTTTTGAGAAAAATTGAACATTAAAAAGGTAAACAAATAGACACATGAAAATTAAGAAAAGTCAATACAATTCAATATACACATAAAGAATAATTTCGACTTTATATATAGAGTGATGCCTTATAATGCCACCTTACTCTGCCCTTGATTTGGGTAGGGATAGAGCTATATGATCAGACGTGGTTCAATTGAATTCTTTTTTTCAAAATATACAATTTAAAGAAAAGGATAAAATAAAATCCTATGTATATGGAAATTGTTGAATTTTTTTGTTACAAGGAATCTTCTAACGTAACAAAAAAAGTAGTTCAAAAATTGCTTTAGCTCATACGTTTAAATTCCAATGATCACATTTTTTGCATTTTTTCCCCCCTCAAATGCATTGGGAGAACGAGAATTCTTGATTGACAACATTAACAATACCTCAATCTCAAACAAATCAGAAATAATATTGATTGACAAAAGAAACAAAATGAAAATGAAAAGATGAAATAGAATTTGAATAACATGATAATTATATTAATACCTTTTCAGATAAATGCACAAGCCATGCAGAAAAAAGAAGGAGAAATATGAAAAAAGTAATAAACTTTTTCTATCTCCTTCTAATTGTAATATTCCCCATTAATGTCTCCTTCAACTATTTTTTTTGTGTATTTATATATGCATGCAAAAAAAATAACATGCATATATGAAAGAACAAATAAATGAGGAAATCAAGAAATTATATATGATATGAGGGCAAAAATACCCAAAAGGACCTTTAATTTGTTTTCTCTTTTTTTTTCTTCTCTCTATTTGTTGTTTGAATGTGGAAATTGTTTTGTTTGGATAATAATCTATAAAAAAAAATAAATTGAAAGATGAAAAATTAGAGAGGAATAGAAATAGATTTTTTAAAAAAAGAAGAAAGAAGAAATAGAAGTAGAGGTGGACAACTACCAATTAAAATTGTCTAAAAAGGTAAGCTTGATACTTGAGAGGTTAGCTTACAAAGAACATGGACATTGACACACAAAATACACATTATTTTATAGTACAAGTTGTAATTTTTATTTTATTTTTTCCATAATAATGGTGGTGTTTGGAGACTAATTTTGTTGCACTACAAAAAAAATTTAATAATTATATATATATATATATATATATATATATATATATATATATATT